TATGAGCAATAACTTTTACTTCAAATTCTGAAGGCACTGGTCCAATGGGTTAGTAAGTAAAAAAAAAAAAAAAAAAACATGAAGTTGGAGGGATAGGGGGGTGGGGGAAGACATATACAACGTCTCTTTGAAATCTGTTCAGGAATGAATGAGCAAGAATTTTCAACTTATACCCTGAACAAGCCTAATAAATATTATGGTGAGAATTCTTAGTTGAATGACATTGAGTGCGCTGCTTATAGTCCATTCTGTCCAAGACAATCCCTCCTTCTCCCCCTCCAACTCCTCCCATGTTCCCTTCAATTTCCTGATCTCTTTTTTTTAACACAACTTACTGAGTCCATTTAATGTTGCTCGTATGTATATGTGTTTAGGGCTGATCACTCAGATAACCTGTCAGAGCTCTGTCCCTGGAGAAAGCTGATTCTGCCTCCCTCAGCAGCCATTGATTGCCTGTAACTCTTCATCTAGAGGTGGGACCTTTTGTTTCTTAAAAAAAAAAAGAATTCTGAAGTCACCATACCATCTCTCCCTCACTGGTAGTATTAAATTTAATCATGGTACCTGTCTCAGGTTTTACTGTTTACCTTTCAGATTTCTGATCTGTGTAGTTCAAGGTTTCTTAGCTTTTTAGATTATGGAGCTTGTGTGTCTTCTGCTTAGCTTCCTTGTTTTGGGGTGATTTCCAAGAGGTAAAAGGTCTTCATTATCTTTGGAAACTCCTAAGGCCATGCTCCATGCTCTTAACACCTACCGTGCTGTGCACAAGGAGCTCCAGCTGCCTGATCTATCCAAGAGGCCTTTCTCCTTCCAGTCAGGCCCCCCTTCTGCAGTCCCAACCCTATCTCAAAATGCCATTTCTCACACTATCCTTCCACATGAGGCTCTTTAGCTGTGGTTTGACATGTTCACATTGTTTTTAGGCAACTACAGCAACAAAATGGGAGCTGGCCAACTTCACATTGTAACAAATGAACCAGAGTGATTTTTCATTAGAAATAAGTGCTCTGCAAGACAAGGCCAAATATTAAAGGGGAAGACAGATAAGATAGGGAAGGAGGATTCAGTTCTACAGCTCTAAAAGCCATGCATGCCCATAGTTTTACTCTCCTACGCCTCATTCAAGCTCAGATGAGAGAGATACATGGACACATGTAGTAAGAGAAGATCTCGTATTTCTTCTGTGTACATGGGGCAGATTTTCACTGATTCATTCAATGACTATGTATGAACTAGCTCCTGTGAGCTGCATCCTAGGAGGCACAGTATGTAACCATAATGGCAGTAATGACCACAATGTGTTGCACATTTATTAAGTGGCAGGTACTGTGCTATGTGCTTTGTGTATATAATCTTGTTTTGTATTTGTAGACTTTACATGAGGACAAGCAGTAGGATACCCCCTGTTGGTTGTTGGAGAGCTGACGTTTTGGGAGGTGGTCATGGTGCAGGCCTGCTGCCTCCAGAGCCCTTGCTCTTTTTAAAAAATATTTTATTTGGTATTTTTATTACTTCATGTGCATGAGTGTACTGCCTGCATGTATGTGAGTGCACCCATGTCATGCAATGTCGAAGAGGTCAGAAGAGGGCATCATATTCCCCTGGAACTGGAGTTAAGGACGGTTTGTAGCCGCCATGTGGGTGCTGGGAAGCGAACCCAGGTCCTCTGCAAGAGCAGTCAGTGCTCTTAACCACTGAGCCATCTCTCCAGCCCCCAGAGCCCTTGCTCTTATGCACTACTTTACCGGTAGCCAGATCCGAGCCACAATCCTGAAGAGCTATTCCTAGGGACACTCTTCCATGTCTTCTGCTCTACTAGAAGAGCCATGAATATGCTTAAGAAGAGGAGAGAGAGCCATATCAGCCTCCACCTCTGAGCACTGGTGTTAGGGCCTCCTGATGAGCCATGCCAGCTTGAGAGGAGCCATTTGGTTTGGATGCCCAGGACCTTTGATATTCAGTACTTGGGCTGTTGATGGTGTCATCCCTTGTAAGGACTGCCTTTTCTCAGGGGTTCAAAGTGTGAGGAGGTTCCTGACTATAATGATCCAGAGCTTGCAATACCAGTTCTAGTTTTTACCCATTCTTTTTTGAGAAGCTCTTTCAATATAATCTTATTTTATTTATTTTTGCGTGCGTGCGTGTGTGTGTGTGTGTGTGTGTGTGTGTGTGCACTGCTGCCACCAATACAATTTTTTTTGGTCTTTTTGAGACAGGGTTTCTCTGTAGCCACAGCTGAACTGGATTCGCTATGGACACCAGGCTGGCTTCGAATTCACAGAGAACTGACTGCCTCTGCCTCCAGGATTAAAGGCGTGCACAACCACACCTAGCTAATAACAGCCCTTTTAAAGCTCCCTCTAAATGTGTAGAACCTGGGTTGCAATAATAAACTATGATTTAAAAAATTTCTTAATTAAAGGTTTTTCTTTAGATAACTTGGTTCATTTCTTGTAATTCTTACAAGTGATTTTTAGACAATCAGCACTGAGAGAAAACCAACAGTAACTCAGACCCAGTTCTTGATTAGGAACCATGCACAGATTATACCTCAGAGCATACAATATTTTGGTAGTGTAAATCCCTATCAAACCATCATTGTTTCTCAGCATTTGAGATAATATTAAGAAAAAAGAGAAAAGATGTAAATGTGTGCATGTGTGTATGTGCACACTTGAAGATATTAACACAAAAACATGTTTATTTACCTCAGTCTAAAGGAGGCGCCTTTTAAAACCAATAGAATAAACATGTTATCCCCCGGAGACTTCTAACTGACAAGAGGGTGCCTATACTATAGAGAGAAAAGCCAAATAAAAGACACCTATAGGAATTTCTGCCTTTCTTTTTTTGGGGGACAGGGTCTCTCTGTAGCCCCAGCTGTCCTGGAACTCATTATGTAGACCAGGCTGGCCTTGATCTCACAGAGATCTGCCTGCTCCGCCTCCCAAGTGCTGTGAATGAAAGTGTATGCCACCCCACCTGGCCATGAATTTCTGAGTTTTAATAGTCAGATATGTAATGTTTAGGACCAGGTAGAATAGTAACATGAAAAAATACTGCTGTGGAAAAGGTTCTACTTCAGTTGATAGCTAATAAACTTCAAAAAAAGCTGTTGAATTTTCTAAAAATTATAAAATATGCTAAACCTGAACATTTTGGAAGAAAAATGTTACTTCCTTCAACTCAAATACACATTTTTTTTTTCAGGAAAGAATTTAGAGGTTTGTTCAGCAAAATGTGTTGATGCCTGTGATGTGCCAGTTACTAATCTCCATTCTGGGGATCTGACAGTGAACAGAGTCTTTGTTGATATGGAATTTCATTAATGGAGAAGACAGACAATAATCACATGGACCAGTACTATGTCAGGTGTGGTAAGTACCATAAGATGTAGTAACAGGATGGAGAGTTGGGGTGGGTATGTTCCGTTATTGGTAGGAGGGACCTCGAGCTGGCATCTGGGCAGAGGGTGAATGATGGGAGAAGAGAGGGAACTTAGAGAAGGGCCTTTTCTACTTTTTCTACAATACAGAATCTGGTATCTGGTTGAACAGACTGGTGCTTATTAATAGCAATTAATCAACTCAGTGATCCATTGATTTATGTGTATTGAATAGTTTAAAGGAATTAAAATGTGATGATCGTACTTCTATTCAGTGGTTCTCAAATAGGATAAAATTTGCTTGCCCCTGCCTGGGGACATGTGTAATGTCTGGAGACATTGTAATTATGGTCAGCTGTCTGAAGGGGAGGTTACTATTAACATCCTGGGGATCAAGGTCAAGGAAGCTGCTGAACATCCTACCTGACATGGACTAGGTCCATAGCAAAGAAGGACTAGGCCTCAAACAGCAGCAGTGCCACTGCTGAAAATCCCTGACCTGGCACAAGGCAGCTACCAGATGCCTGATGAGGGGCAAGGGATTGGGCAGGAGGAGCTCATTTGAACAACCCCATCAAGATAGCTGGCTATCCTCAAACAGGGTAGATCTAAAACCCTTAGAGTTACCTTGAAACAGACTTGGGTGGTTTGTTTCAAAGCCAGAAATAGATATTCATTAAACATTAAGTAAAAGTTTCCTAAATGTCTTTGGTGTAAGGGAGAACAAGGAGACAAAGCATGATCCTCACTATTAAGTTATAGCCAGGGCTGGAACGATGGCTCAGCAGTTAAGAACACCAGCTGCTCTTGCAGAGGACCTGGGTTCAATTCCCAGCATCTACATGTCAGCTTACAAACCATCAGTAACTCCAGCTGCAGGGGATCTGTCAGTCTGTTCTGGCCTCTGCAGGCACTGCACGCATATAGTACGTTTTATACACATGCAGGCAAAACACTCATACACATAAATAATCTTTTTAAAAAGTTATAAGCCAGACACGGTGGCACACACCTTTAATCCCAGTACTTGGGAGGCAGAGGTAGGCGGATCTCTGTGAGATTGAGGACCGCCTCGTCTACACAGTGAGTTCTAGGCCAGCTGGGGCTACAGGGAGACCCTGTCTCAAAAAGACCCAACCAAAACAAAAAAGTTACTGCTCAGGGAAGATGGGAGGCATGGTGACACCTCCTGCAACACACACACACACACACACACACACACACACACACACACACACACACACACAGACACACGAGGCAGACAAATGGCTTTTTCTGGAGTGACTCAAATAGGTTTTTTTAAACATATGACCTATCCTGTGAAGTGGGGTTGACAGTGGCTTTTCAGAAGCAGAGAGGGTCAAGGAGGTTGTATGAAGTGGAAGATGGAAACGTGTAATGCGGCAGAGAATAATCACCATAAGACTTAACAGTCACTGCCATCTGGGAAGGCCCTTCCAGGAGCTGTGCTATCAGGCACTTGATTACAACAGACAACAGTCATCTAAACTGAAAGCTGACAGAGATGAGGCAGCAGAAGACCCAGCATGATGTCAAGCATCTGAACTCCTATATTACCAATTTCAAAAAGATATGAAAACCTGAGCAGTGTTACCTGCGGTGTGTTGCATAAATACCGAAGCAATTCACCGATATACTGAATGGCAGTGACGTTGTATTTTCTGCAGTCATCCCAAAACTGGCTGGCTGAAAATTTGCTCCGCAAAGCAATGGTAGCACCTATGGAAAAGGCACAGGAGGCACCAGTGAAGGGATGCTAATGACAACCGCTCCAGTTACAGCTTTCACTGTTTGGAAGATAGGGACTTTAATTCATCCACAAACAAGTGTTGAGTATTTATTATGCTTAATGAAAAAAATGAAAAAGTCAAGCTTTTTTTTTTTGGTGCCTTATGGGCTGGAGGAGAGGAAGAAGGAGAGCAAGAATGCATGGAGGACTAATGTTGGAGAGAGAGAGAGAGAGAGAGAGAGAGAGAGAGAGAGAGAGAACCTATGAATATATCACCTTGTATGGCAAGGTATGCGATTGCAAGTGCTTAGGTTATGGTCTGGAGATGGGAAGATTTTTCTCGGACTATTTTGTGCCCAAGGTAATCATAAGGGTCCTCAAAGGGGGTGCAGAATAAAGGTGGAAGGAGATAAGCTGGTAGAAACTAAGGGTTGTAGGGTGTCTTTGAAGAGAAAAACAGGGATCATGAATCCAGGTATTCAGGCAGCTTCTAAACCTGGAAAAGTGCAGAACATGGATCCTCTTCCTCAGCATCCAGAAGGAATGCAGCCCTGCTAGAGACATCTTGGATTTGGGGCTTCTGACTTCCAGAACAGTGAGAAAATAAAGTGTCAGAAGCCACTAAGCTTGTGGTAATTTGTTACAGTGGCAATAGTAAACTCATACTTTTTTTCATGTTATTCATTTTTTTACTCCTAAATATACCAAAGACCACTGTTTTAAAAGAGGTGTTCAAAACCATTTTTCTCTTTAGCATGTATTTATGGTGCTGAAGGGATTGATTTGTGTCTTGGAGCCTCATAGTCACTCTGCTTTTCAAGATCCAGTCGTATGTCCAGACCCAGTCATGGAAGGGTATTACTGATGCTGAGCTAAGTATTTCATAGTTGATGAGTCAGAAGACGAAGGATAGAAGTAGAGGCTTGGACCATCAATCTTAGTTCAGGCTGCTACAAAAAATGATCATGCCAGGCGTGGTGGCACACGCCTTTAATACCAGAACTTGGGAGGCAGAGGCAGGTGGATCTCTGTGAGTTTGAGGTCAGCCTGGTCTACATAGAGTTCTAGGCCAGCTGGGACTACAGGGAGACTGTCTCAAAAAGACCAAAAAAAGTGATCATAGGTCCTGGGGAAATGGCTCAACAGTTAAGAGCATGTATTGCCCTTTCAGAGGACCTGAGTTCAAGTCCTAGCACCCATGTCAGGTGGCTAACAACCACCTATAATTCTAGATCCAGAGGATTCAACACCTCTGGCCTCTATGGGCTCCAGTACTAGTACACACATGCACATACACAATTAAAAATAAATCTTTAAAAAAGTGATCATAGACAAGATGGCTTATGCAACAAATAATGCCTTTTTCCAGTTTCAGAGGCTGTGAAGTTCTAAATTAAGCTACCAGCAAGCCACTGTCTGGTAAGGTCACTCTTTTTGGTCTGGGAGTAAGCATCACCATCCCATGTCCTTCTATGAGGGAGAACAGAGAGTCTCTGCTTTCTATTGTATCTTCTTATAATGGCACTAGTCCGATGTACAAAAGCTCTGTACACTTGACCTAATGCTTCCAAAGGCCCTGCCTTCTTTCCTATATATATATATATATACATGTATATGCATATATATTTATTATTTTATGTGTATTGCTTGTATGTGTGTAAGTGCATCCATGTCATGTAATGCCCATGGAGGTCAGAAGAGGGCATTGGATTCTCCTGGAACTGGGGTTATGAACAGCTGTTAGCCAACATATGGGTGTTAAGAATCGAACCCGGGTCCTCTGCAAGAGTAGCCAGTGCTCTTAACTGCTGAGCCACCTCTCCATCTCCAGCCTTGCCGTCTAATATTATCACATTATGGTTCAAAGTTTCAACATGTGAATTATTTGGGACTGGATGGCACAAACATTCAGTCTGTAATATACATATATGTATGCATACATATATATGTTAACATATATGCTATATATACACACACACGTGTATTTTAAATGCTTATTCAAAATAAAATGTCATATGGAGGAAAAGTCACATAATTTAGCTCAGTGAGAGAATCAGAGATCGTTTCCTGGAAGGAGGGGATATGGATCTAAACCTTCAATGTGTAAAAGTGGCATAGATTCTCCATAAGGGAGACAGGATGCCAGCTCCCATTTGAACAGTAATACTGGAGAAGGAAAGAAGAGACAGCAAGCCAGATATTCTGTCTGAAGCTGAGGAGTTGTGAAGGTAAGAAAGATAAAGAGGAAAAGGACAAGGATGGCTGGAGGTGAAGCTTTCATCAGGTGCTGATGGAGAGAGACATGCAGATTTGTGAAGCAGGAGAATTTTTTATGGAATCTAACAATCTAGTGTCTTAACTTGGGCAAAACCATGAGTTATTTTAAGTGAATTTCTCCCTCAACACACTAAACAGTTATGGCATTATATCACTGAAACAAGCATAAGAAAATGTAAAGAGAAATAAATAAACTCTCCTGTCTTTCCTCTGGCAGACAGGAAAGTGGCCAGGTTTGTTTTACCTGATGAGCAGACATGAATGGATCAACTTCTGATGCTGTGTAGCAGAGGACAGAGCTTACCGGTCAGGATACATCCGTGCAAGCCAATCATAAGCGCAGCACTGTGATACAAGGGCAGCGTGGTGTAGATGATGTCATTTGCCTTAATCCCACTTGCCAAAGCAAGGCCTGTCCCATACCACAGGCGATGATGATTGATGGTTGCAGCCTTTGGGAGACCTTGGCAAAGACACAAGAGATGGGAGCAGTGAGCTAAGATTGGCCATTCATAGCGTGGGATGGGGATCTGGCATGCACAGCTTCCTCACCCTGTGCTGAGCAGACTGCACGAGGGCAGGGATGAGCAAACCACAAGTCTGTACATTATTTTTTTTTCTTCAAAAGCACCAGAGAGTAAATGTTTGGTGTTCTGTGGTATCATATGGTCATTGTACTGACCCTGCTCTGCTAGTGTGCTGACAGCAGCCAAGCACACACATAATGGATCTTGTTCTGGAGGCTCTCAAGGCACAGTTTGCTGAGTTCTGAGATAGGCAGTTGGCATACTTGTAATTTGAAGAGACTGAATTTCTGCTTTGGCCTCACTACTTGGTAAGAGATTTTCAAAAATTGCATTTAATTTTTCATAATAAATTTAAGAGATAAATAGAATTGGATTCTTAATCCACAGATGAGAAAGCCACGATTCAGAGACTGTATAGCCCATTCATTCAATCTTTGAAATTATACATATTTCTTTGTAATTATACATATTTGCCATTTCAATTTTAAAATATGTACTTGTGAACTTTTTTCTTGGAGATCCAACTATGTTTATAGACTCCCTCACTTATTCATCCATTTATTTCCTTTATCAGCTGCTTTGCATTCGTTATCATGATGATACTATGATTTATTCATATACCATAGTATTGATTGTGGCTATTTCCAAGGATGCCACAGTGAATAACGTTGTTCACATGGTAATTCACACTATGAATGATGCTACACGTCAAAAAGCATGTCTTTGTAATCTAGGAACATAAGCATCACATTTGCCAGTTCTCAGGGGGAATCCCCATTCACTCCCCTGCCAGGAAAATAAGAGTCCCAGTTCCTCACAGCCTTGTCACAGACACCCTCCACCCTCACAGCCTTAACACAGACACCCTCCAGCCTTGCCGCATACACACTCCCTCACTGGGTTTTTGTCAACTGAAAAGTGAAAAACAGTATCTCACTGTAGACTTAGTACATTAGACTAAATGCATTTTTTTTTTGTCTTTTTGAGACAGGGTCTCCTTGTAGCCCCAGCTGTCCTGGAACTCACTATGTAGACCAGGCTATGTAGACAAAGATCCACCTGCCTCTGCCTCCCAAGTGCTGGGATTAAAGGCGTGCGCCACCACGCCCAACTAAATGCATTTTCTTAATCATAATTTATGTACTTAAAAAGACTTTGCATTAAAAAGTATGCTTATATTGCTTCTCATAGAAGACTGATTTAGTTTTAGGGGGCATGAAGTCACTTCTCAGGGTGCTGAGTTGGAGTTTAAGCCCTGAGTAGAAAACCACACCTTCTGAAGAGGAGGGTCAATCTCTGCATACTCAGATAGCACCCTGGTCAGGTATTTTTCATAATAACAGTCTTTCATATGGCCAGCTAATTACCCATCATTCTAAACACAGTTCAAAACTCATTTCCTTTGTCAGAGGTCCAGGGCATTGCATTAATAATAATGGCCCATTTTACATTAACATCAAGAAATGGAAGAAACCATCAATAAATCAATTGGATTTACCATGGAAAAGAATCATGTAAATAGTGAAAGCTCTGAATTATATATATATAAAAGAGTATTTCTTTGTGCTTTGAAGTACTTATGGAACTTTCCCAATTTAATATTTTACATTAATGAATAAATATTTGGTAACAATTACATAAATTTGTGCCACTGACTTCCTTTGAGGATCAGGGAAAACACTTTGCTAAGTTCATAAATGAATTCTTTTAGTTAATTTCCAGAAGAGTAACATGCAAATATTTCATTCATAGGTTAAAAAAACAGCAAAATAGACATTAATCCTACTGTCTTCCTGTTAAACATAAATATTAAATTGTGGGATTAATTTCAGGAGTGTTTTCTATTTTATCCTGCAAATGGGTTTCCATTTCCTTGCCAAAACATATTTGTAAAGAAGTTCCATACAGTTTAATTTTACCATTCTATTATGAAATGCAGGTCGAAATCCCACAAATTAAGGCAGTGTCTACGTGCAATGGGATCAGCTGGTCTCTTACGTCTTCAACCTTTCTGTTGGCATGCTGATATAACTTTTGATAAATAAAAAATTACATTACACTACAGGCATAGGCTTTACTATGCCACCCCAAGCTCCCTGTCATTTACTTAAAGGAAATATTCAGTAAAAGTGACAGTGTGGGATGGGGGTCCGTGATCATGTTAAACTGAGGTCTAGCGACTGCTGTAGCAGATGCTACTAGGGCTTGTCAGGGCGAAGCAGAGAGTTCCTGTTGGCTGGTGTAGAGATAACAGTCTCCATAGAACCTTTAGCCTTCTCTATAATATTTGATCATTTAGCAAAGAGAAGGTATGACTGTATTACCTGCTTAAATTAAAAACTTAATCAAAGGAGATAAAAGGCTCATATTCAATTTCCTAACAATAATAAAAATGATCATCACTATCAGCATGGTGGGCTGGCTTCCTGCCCTCTTTTCAATATATCCCCCACGCTCCATGTTATTATATTTTGGTCACGCTTTCCCTGGCCTTTTGTGGGCAGACTCTGAATATCTATTACATGCATAAGCCAGGAGGTGTTTTTATGAGCCTGGCGTTTTATGAGCCTGAATACTTCTACTTCTTGTCTTGGGAAGCCTGTAATCTCTTTAAAAATATTTTATTATTTTTATTTTTATGTGTATGAGTGTATTGCCTGCATGTGTATAAGTGCACCTATGTTGTGCAATACCTGCAGAGGTAAGAAGAGGGCTTTGGATCTCCTGGAACTGGAGTTACAGATGGTTATTAGCCATCATATGGGTGCTGGGAATCAAACCTGAGTCCTCTGCAAGAACAGCCAGTGCTCTTAACCACTGAGCCATGTCTCCAGCCCCAAAGCCTGTAATCTCTTTATCTGTTTCAGAATCTGTAAAATGGAAGTAACAGTATCCCCTCGGGGGAGTGGGAGAGTTGTATGAATAACTGTCTAAAGCACAGAGAAGAATGCCTGCCCCATATGACTCTGAATATTGCTATTCCAAATAGCGAGTAACTGGCAATGTTTTCTTTTAATAGTTTATAAAAAATAGTGCACAGTTGAAGGCATCCTAGGTCTGATGACATAACAGCATTTTAGGGCTCAGTAGGTTCATTCTACATTCAGAGCACCAAGTCAGTAAGGCTTGGGGAACTGCAAACACCTATATAAATATTACCCCATAGCTGTCCTCTGGTATGCCCCATTTATATCGATTACATATCATATATGGATCTGGATATAAAATAACCAAAATATGCCAAGCATTAAAAATTTCTAACAACCCATGGGGCCAAATTTTATTTATCATCTCAACTATTTTTATAGTTCTTGTTTTTTTCTTTATCTGTTCTACAGCAAATGGGGGTGGGGTGTGTGGCACGCAAAGCCAGGACAAAAGCAAATGAGATCATATGTGATGAAATAAGATCAGTTCCCACGGGCAAAGAGCTAAATTCCTTGAAGTATGAGTTATCTGATAAGTTTTGCTAAAGAAAGTGAATGTCTAAAAGTCCAAGCCAACATTTAACTCCTTCAGTTAAGTCCATGTCCTTGAGAATTCCCTCTTTATTTTTTACCTGTGGTTCCAGAAGTATAAATGTATAGGGCAGGAGTAGAAAACGTGACTTGGGACCTCCATGACTCTGGGATAGGCTCGGTCGACACTTCATCTACTTTGTCCAGTAATGAGTCCACCCCGTCTGTGTTGGAAGTTCTGCTTACGTAATAGACAGACACACCATCCTTTTTCAGGGTTGGCAGCACCTCTTCAACAGCTTCCTGTAGTTCTTATTTTTTAAGAAAACAATCATAGTTTATTAGTTCATTAAGTTTCCATTTAGTGTAATAAATTTCATATTTTTGAATCAGACATATGTTTTGTTAAAATGTTTGGATATGAAGATGCTATGCATTTTTAACACTGACTTTGAAGCATTTGAAAAATCTCCCAAGGTTCCAATATCTGAAAGAATGAGGCTTGAGTTTTGATGTTTTGTAAGCACAGGAGATCATTGGTAGAAATCTGCACTTGTTACTGCAAGTGCTTACAAGTGAATGTATGGACAAAATCCAAGAACAGTAAGTGCACATTATTAAAACTTTAAAGACAGTGGAACAGACATTTTCAGAACATACCACACAGAGTTCAAGGTAAGAATTATTTTAAAGTCTGTGTCAGTCATGTGCGTGTACAGGTACTTGGATCACAATCAATTTCTTCACAGGTCAGGTAAGAAAAGGTTCTTACTTAATGTAAAAACATCATCTCGTATTTGTTACTTGGATTTTGTGCCTTTAATCTATAAAATAAGATGGCTTTTAAGCTAAGTTGTCTTGAATTGTAACAACTAAAGTAAATATACTTACTCTGATTCAGAAGGTGACTAAGTACCTCAGGGAGTTACCCCAAAGGCTAAACCTAAGCCATCTGTGTGCTTCATTTCTCAGATGTTGGTGGCTGAGGCCTCCAAGAAATGCAACTGGGACAGATGTTTAAATTAAAAATTATTGTTA